GCCCCCCGCCGCCAGCCCCGAGCCCGGCGGCCTGCGGCACCCCGGGGTGCCCTGAGCGCCTCCGCGCGCCTCACAGGGGTGCCGCGCTGCGCTGGGGCGGCGCACACGGTTCGCAGGGTGCGGCCCAGGGTTCAAGCAGGCAGCCAGAGGGTTTCAAACACTTCTGGGCTCTTGGGTCTTGCTCATGGAAACGCTGCCAGGGGGAAAAAGGAGTGCGAGCAAGGAGCTGGCATTTTCCGAGTAGGGCCTCGAGTCCGACAGAGGTTGAGGACCGCTGCTCGAAGACATCATTTCAGGGGATTTTGTTTCCGAGAAATGACTAGCTGGCGGCAGGCTTGCTTGCCCTAGAAAGCACCCGAGTGGCCACCTTCATTTCTCTGGCAAGGATTTGTTGCACCCTAGTGGCTCCCGCAGGCTGTGTTGCACCTTTGTTTTGTTTCAGGGATTGGCAAAAGGGCTTCCTATCATGGGAAGGAAGCAGTGACTTCCCTTAGAGTGCAATACACGGGGGGCAAATTCATCGTCGGGATCCCTCGCCTCTAGTCTGGGAAATGACTCGTGCTTTGGCCTCAAGTGAACATAGCAGCTAAGTGCTACATTAGGCAAAGAAGTATGAATAAGGAAACTTTAAATCGTGGTGTGCACATCATTAGAAATGTATCCAGTGCCTGGTTCAGTAGTAGTTGCTGTGTCTGGAGTTGACCCACTTTATTTACTCCAAGACCTGGTGTCTTGTTTTTAAGTTATGGTCTCTATTCATCCTGGTGTAAAGGAATGCAGCTAGGGAAGTAGAACTAAAGAGACTGGAGAAGGACTTAGCCTGCTTTATTTGCTTGGTTGGCTGGCTGGCTGGTTATACCTCCATAGTTACTTCTAGAGTCTCTGCTGCTATAGCTTCTGCTCAGTTTTTAATTGCGTGTCCTCTAAGTAGCTGCACAATCCTCACTCCACAGAGGGTAAATGGAGGCACAGGAAAGCTAAATGACTCTGAGGTCACATGGGGAAATTGGTGGCATAGGCGACGTGTAGGGGAGGCACAGGGGTGGGGCATGTCCCCCGCCTGGAAGTGCTGGTGCCCCCCCTGAGAGCAAGCACTCCAGCTGGTAGGGGGGCACAGAGCGCGCTCATACCCCCCTTGAATTGGCTCTGCTGGCAGGATGTTGTCATCAGAAGTGCCAGCGGCAGAAGTCCTGGCACTTCCACCGCTGCTGTGCCGCATGCAGAAGTGTAAGGACCCCTCCCCCCGGTTACCAGCTGGCTGCTGCCCCCTTCCCCCCAAGTCGTGCCCCTCTAGTGCCCCCCCCAACTTGGGAGGCACCAGTTGCCTATGATTTGTAGCAAAGTAGGGAAATGAATTAATGCGTCTCAGGACCTAGACAGGTTCCCTTATCATTGGTCCATCTTTCCTTCCTGACAATTCAAGACAGGAAACAAAAGAAGAACTAACAGAAAGTGTCTGTTTTTTAAAAGCTGGTATAATTTAATTGTACTTGCTACTGGGGGGGGGAGGAGGGGGACAGTAGAAGGAACATAGGCTGCTTGCAGATATAAGCTTCCCCCCGCCCCCCAAACAGTGCTTTACTTTAAAGTCTGTGTGCCCCCATGCATGCCCAGAATAGGCACCACATTAGTTGGACCTGGCTTGTCCAACATCTGTATAGATTGGGTGTTTTAGTTGGACATGAGTCAGTTATTAGACTACTGAATCAGCTATTAGATGAAAGCTCCAAAAAGCCCTACGGAAGCACCCAATTTATACAGACACTGCAGAGCCAGGTCCAACTAAGGCACTGCTTCTTCCAGTAAACTGCTTTTATTTATTTATTTTTTTCATGTCTGCCAGCAGTCGTAATGACTAATGAAGTAATTTTATTTATACATTGCACTTGGTCAACAAAATTAACAGAATTGTTTCAGCACAAATTTGGCAGGAACAATGATATAGAAGTACACGGGGCTAGCATTAAAACAGAGCTGTGTAGTATTAGATGAAAACTTCTATGAGGCTGGAAAAGACCAATAAAATAAGGTAATAGTTTCAAATACTTCAAAAACAGGACAACCTTTTATTTAATAAGTTTTCTTATCGTAACTGCACTTCAGCACTGTTGGACCAGGAAGGATGTGTTTCCCCCTCCTGCTACATGTGTCAGGGTTTCTGTTTTTGCCTTTGAGTATTGGCTGCAGCCAAGGCATGGGATTTTGGCTGGGGTGTGCCAGTGTTCCTGCTGGGACTTGAATGTGGACATTCCTGGCTGGAGGGTCTTGCCCCTCTGCTTGGGCTCAGACTGATCACCACAGTTGGGGTCAGGAAGGAATTTTACCCCATGGTCAGATTGGTATGGATGAGTGGGTGGGAGTGTTTGTCTTCTAGCAGGAGGCATGGCCCTCTTTCTTGGACTTTTCCAGTGTATTTTAACAATGTGCCCCAGCAGGACATTTGGCTGCTGAATACCCCCTGCTTTGCCTGTGACAGGTTAGGGCAGATCCACCGGTAGATCTCAGAGCCTCTTGGAGTTGATTCGAGGCTGGGGTGGGGGGGTTAAGTGCTTGTGTGCATACATGCGTGTGCCCCAGCCCAGCAGGTCAGTTCCTGGGGAAGGGGAGGGGAGGGGCTAGATTGAGGCCCCCGCAGTGAGGGACAGTGCTGCAGAGGCAGGGGTACGTTGAGTGGGGCTCCAGGTGGGATTTACCTGCTGGGGAGGTACCCCCAAATAATCTTTTCTCCCTTTGCCTTGATCTGCCCCCCCAGACTTACCTGCTGGGAGGCAGGGGGGTGGCAGCAGTGCACAGTACATCTTGGGTTGCTTTTAAATGACAAAGGTGATCTGCTTAAAAATGTTGGAGACCACTGGGTTAGGATATTATATCTTGTGGTTGCATCAGGATTGGCTGTGTAGTTTGGCCAATAGGTTAGACAATGGATTTGTATAGGATGGTTTGGATAGGGATGATCCTACCTCAGGCAGGGGGCTGGACAAGATGACCTCTGAAGGGCCCTTCCAGCCTTACTTTTCTATGATTGTGATGCATTACTTGAAGTCCATCCTGAGAAAATGGTCTGTGAGTATAAACAAACTGTACATAGCTGTAGAATGTATAGAACAGAATCTGTCACAGGATGAAAAGGATAGGGATATGAAAAGACAGACTACCACTCTAGTTGCAAAGATGGGTGTTTTTCAGGTGGTTGTTATTTGGGAAGAGCTGTTATCGGCAACTTTCTACATGGAGGTTATGGTTCCCTAGATGCATGCATAGAGAAGGCCCACTGTATGTTACTGTATCTACAAATGTGCAGGAGTGTATTGAACTATGTCCAGATCTATGTCCCACTCCTTCCATAAAACCCAGAGAAGCATTGTGGATCAAGGTAGGAAGAAGTAGTGCCAGGGAAAATATTCATTGCATAGTTTCTCCAGCTTCCCCTTACATAAGCAGGGCATCCCCTCCTCTCCCATCCTTGTATCTCCTCCACTCCCCAAAAAAGCATGTTTACATTTTTGTGGTGATCTTCTTTGCTATGCATTCATATGCAGCAAACAAACCATTCTAGTAGGGAACACTGGTATAGGGAGGCAAGATGGGAAGCTCAAGGAATTTGGCAGCAACAGAGTAGAAAGATGTTCATTTTAAGAAGGGAGGGAACCAAACCCAACCTCAACAGGGCACTTCTTATCTATAATGCAAACATTATGCTGTATTCTGTATCTTTCTCAACACACTAAAGGTGGGAAGACTTTAAACTGTGCAAATCTGAAACCTTGCCTGTGTTTTATTAATTACACATAGAAAACATTTAGGAACACTAACATACATGCACAAGATATTGCTTCAGTAAGCTAGCTCTAATCCATAAATTCAGTGGGGTTAATAGAGCATCCAAATCAAAATGGGAATCAAAAAAGACATCAGTTGAAAGCAAAGAAGCTGAAGCCAGAACAGTTTAGAGCAAAGGAAACTCATGAATTCCTCTCATGTTACAGTATTATTGTCATCCTACCCAACATTTATGTTTTTAGTTCTAGCATTTTTGTCATTCCTTCTTCTGCAGCTCTGCAAACTTCTGATTCAATTGGACAAAGTACTTTTGGAATTACAGAAATAGTTAAAATGCCCACATCTTCAAATATGTGAAATCAAGTAATGTTAAGAATAATAGAAAAATATTATCCCCCCAAAAAATTAAAGTTGAGCCAGATGCTAATGAAAGGAAGGACATTCTAAAATTGCCAAGCCTAGGATTAAGTTCTCTTGTGCTCAAAAAAATTGAAGCATGCCTGGTGCTCCATAAAAGAGATGATATGGCCCTGCGTGGGCTGAAGAACCTATGAACAAGGATTTTCAGCTAAATTCTTTACAGCTTTAACAACGTTGAGAGAATACTTGTGTGTGAAGAGAAGCAGTTTAAGTAGAAAATCTCTTGCAGTGGAACATTGATGAAAGAATGATCTTCTCTTTGTTGGGATGGAAATGATCACACTCCAAATCATTTGCGTTGATCCAAATGAATGGTGTTATTTAATGATTAATTTATGCATCACCACCTAAATTATGCAAAGCTTCAGGGAAGCTACTACCCTCTTGAATGATCTCAGGACACTTATTACCAGCTTAACAGTATTTCACTGACTTCCCAGCTAAATTCTTATTTGGAAAATTACATTCTGCCCATTCAGTCTCCTCCACAGTATTCCAGGTAGAAAAGACAGCTGTTTCTTCTTATCCTGTGGTATTACTGTATACTACTGAAGACCTGCAGCAAAAAACCCTGTATGTGGTTGCCTTTCAATGGTGGTTGAATCTATTCCAGTTGTTATTAGTCTGTTGGAAGTTCTCTTCACCCATAGCCCCCCAGCCCTGCCAATGCCCCTTACTCCTGACCCGCAAGCCCCCTGCTCCCCCAAGCCCTGCCAGAGGGAGCCCCCAGTTGCCCCCACCCTGACCAGACGGAAATGTGGTGGCTGCAGCAGTTCCAGCTTGTGAGGGTGCTGGTGGAGCAAGTCTGGCCCTGACACAGGCTGGAGGGAGGAAAAGGGGAGGCCTATGGCACCCCAGGCTGGGGATCCTGTGCCACGCCAGGCTATGCATCCCCCTCCAGGCAGTGTCTCCCAGGTGTCCTATCCCTGTGAGCCCAGCACCAGCTCCTGGTGTCAGTAGCCCAGTTGTGTAGCTCCGCACTGCCTCTGAAGGGCCTCCCTGCCCTCTTCCCCTGCTGAAAGGGCAGGTGCCTCCCTCTGGCCCTCTTGGGGGGCAGGGGTGTTGCAGCCCTCACACCTAGACATTGTTTCCCAGCACTGGCAGGCCCCCCCCCCCCCCCCCCCCCT